TTGATACACTTAAATAAAATTTGATTTAGACCATATTTTTCACCTGTATAAAACTACTATTCACAAACCGGATTTCCAAGATTATTTCTTTGTTAACAATTTGATTCATTTTTAGCTTCCACATCCACTTGTTATCAATCAAAGGTTGATTTATTAGAAAGTTTGACTAGCTTCCATGTCTTATTATAATCAGCAATTGCATTTCACTCTTGATAAGAGTATTTCAAGCTTATTTTCACAGACTTGAGGTTTTTAATGTGAACAATATTTTTTCTTTTCAATTATTAATGCATTGAAATCATTATCTTTTTTCTCAAAATCAGAAATTCCAAAATTAGTTAATAGTTCAACTAATCTTATTTGGTGATTTTGCTTTAAACGTTTCTAGTTGAATTCTCTACATAATCTTTTTGTAAATGATTCTAGTTGATTTCTATTATTACTTGTAGCTACTTGACACTCATCAACTAGAATTTGTTCATTCAATTTCTGTCCTTCATGACTTTTTGCTACAAATATATCATAGTTTCTTCTTGTTTCCTATACTTTTAGCCACAATTATCAGTCTTACTTTCAACATGAGTGAAAATTTAATCTTGTTGGTATCTCACTTTCTTCAAAAATTTCAAGTTCATAAAAAAACAACTTTATTATCGATTTTATTACATGTGATAGGATTTAATAATAAGAAGCGCTTCAAACTATTATCAAATCAAATTAAGGACACTTTTTGGATATAAACATCAATTTATCATATTTTTCTTGGACATGAAATAATAACCGTAAAATTAATTTATTTAAAAAATAATTTATCAGCCATCCGTTTATAATTTTATGCAACCAATGTTAAAAAATTGATTGCATTAGAAGCAAAGAGATATACACAATTCAATTTTTGAAATCATCAATTTGAACAGCAAATTTTTTTCTATGATATTTGTCCATAACACAATAATAAGAAAAATTATAAATTAACTATACCTACGCTAGTTAACATTCAACTATTGTGGATGAATGTTATTGTGAATTAGAATAAAATACTATACATGAGTATCTCAATTCGAGATGTAGTGAAAATTGATATGTTTTGCTTGTATTTGGTTTCTACTAAATATATGTTATTTTTTTCTGTACATTCAACATAATATAATCAAATTTTTTTTCTTAGAGTCTCACTTTTTGAATCTAACATTTTAAGAGAGATAAATTGTTTACTCATAGCAACTTTAAGCCAAAGTATGTTCAGTTCTATAAAATATTTGAATGTAGAAGGCTTTACATTCTACGAGATTGAATTTTACTCATAAAATTTTAATTTTTTTACATCAAGCGGTTGTCATTGTGAGATATTTGCTTGAGAATGAATTATGATGACAAAGGCATATTCCTATGTATTTCATAAAAGGATTTTGATGATCTATGAATTTTAGATAATGTTTGCTCTTATCATATTTATTACATCAGAAAATTTTTTCATATTCTTTGAATACCAAAAAATTTCATTATTTTGAAAAATATTCAAAATTATAGAATTTAAAATATTGGATCTATCTAGATTCAAAGATTTTATAGAGTTGATTGTATAGACTTATAGTTTATGAATAATTGTATAAAATTACAGCAGTTTGGGTTCCTAATGTTGTTTCTTATCAAATAATTTTCATTATAATAAAATCATATTTTTTCTTCTTATAATACCTGTGACTCTCCTTGATTTTTCCACGTGACTGAACTATGGAGATTTTAATATGATATGAGAAGACACATCTCTATTACTATTCACTATATTCAAAATATATGAGCTTTTCCGTATAAATCAATACTCATTATACTTCTGTAAAGCTTTGCAGTAGAGGGCAGAATCTGATGCACGTCATATGGGAATATATTGAATGTTATAATAAGTGAGCAGTTGTGTTATATATTTGACAATAATATGAAAGCGTTTTGTATTGAAACATCACTCATAATGTAAAATTTTCATGACATAGTTTTATAATCGTGTCATGATATTTGACACGATTATAAAACTATGTCATGAAATTTTTATAAGTATCATGACACGATTATAAAAGTAACATTTGTGTATAAAGTTTAGATTATTTAGAAAGATCATTGTAAATGATAAGAACACGTTGATTACGATTCATAAAGTATTCATCTAGAGCTTTTATAATCATTCGTTTATAACGAACAGTATACTTTTGTTGGTGCGTGCGGATTTAAAGGTAAAAAAAAGTTACCCCATTTGCCGCTCAAACCGCTGCCGAAAGACATACTGTACAAACAAACATGTAGTTGTATCCACCGACTTAGATATGCTTGTACACAAGCACTCACTTGCGATGAGGATAGAGAAGAAAGTTTCATGTCTTTTTTCGAGGTGTCGATGTGTTCTCAATCGTTGTTGATACGTGGAGACTAAGAAGAAAAAGCAGCGACTTTGTCAACGTCCAGCCTCCCTCCTTTTCCCTGGACCGTGCCAGTAGCCATTTTGAAAACAATGTACTATTTTTCATGGAGTCTGTTGCAAACTAAATGTGTTAGTGCGTTGTTTTCAGGTCAGGAGCCTATTCGAATTTATATAGTCCGAACCAATGCTACCAAAAGGCCTGAATGATGTTTCAGATTCCAATCCACGCTGCTGCTGAATTTCAACGAAATTGATAGAAGATATAATGTCTGCTCGTGAAATATTGGTAGCTGGCTGTGCTAATTGATACTGAGAGCCTTGAGACATTATTTCAAACACAGAAGGAATGACAAAACTTGCTTCTGCCAGCGTCGTGAATGTGATTCAAATATATTGATTGAGAGATGTAGAATCTTGAGACTTCTTCTGCCAGTAGGCCAGCAACGCTGAAGATAGTTACAATATATTTAACAAGAGATCCCAATTCACTGAAAAGCACAGTTGTTTGACAGCGTTCAGGTCACGTGCAAGAGTTGGAATCTGGGGACACCTTGTGTTAGGATCTTGTGTGTGATCTCACTTAGCACCCAACTGTTTCTAAAGAGTCGTTATCATGCTTGTAACACCTAATGTCTTCAATCTGAAGTATCCTCCAAAGCGCATCAACAAAATGCATTATCGTTATAAGGCCAGGTAGATAGTGCACAGTCACGATTGTCTTGGAAAGAAGAAAGCCCCGTGAACGTTGACCATGTTGACAGATGTTCCTCAATGTCCAGGAGAATGCATTGTCTACTTTTCGTGCCTTGCTTTTAGGCGAAATTAGCCTGGCTTGCACTAGCTGGAGTGAGGTTTGCCCGCAACAGGATGTAGTCATGATGTGTTCAAGCGCACATGAGGACATGCTGCGATTGGCGGAGTTTATGAAAGCACAATCATGCCGAGGTTGTCACCTTCGTCAGCAACGTAAGAAACATTCTACTGTGTTGTACCTGTACATGCCAATGAGTCATATGCCCAGCACAGATTATCTGATGTACCCGACACAACGTGGTTGTAAGGGGTTTTGGGACACAATCGTGAGTCTTGGTGTTCTCGATTTTCTAGCCTTCCCCGGGTTGCACCTCCTTCACCATCACTCGGTTCAATCTCCGGCAGATCCCCTAAACGTGCTTGCAATTTTTTTGTCACGAGCTTTTGATGAACATCGCAATATTGGAAGGAGATCTCAACCCTCTCTCTTGGGCTGTCGGCTCTGAGGATTGTCTCTCCGCGTGGAGCACGATTGCTGTTTGGCTGATTATGTTTAATAACCTCTAGCCATATTCATTTACCCTGCGAGTCAAAGTTTCGCAAATCAGACGTAGTCCAGTATTACTGGGAGGCAAATCATCGTTTGCTGCGCAACTCTAATCCTTCACTCTGATTTAGGAAAGTAATTTGCGCATCGTAGGAGGATAAGAGAAGACTGCATATGGCGACATGGTCACGAAAAGTACTTCACTGTAAAAGAAAACGCAATAAACACTGAGCGGAATAGTGTAAAATCAGCAGACACAACCTGGTGGTGTGGCTTATAATTGGTGTGAGTACCAAACCCTTTATGCCAAACAGTTCTTAAACCTTGATGATGAGCTCAAGAGCTCAGCTGATCAGTTGATTACAGACTGTTGCACAAAACCATCAGATAAAATATAAGTGGGAGAAAAATCGCCTGACAGTGGATGCGTATTTCAATGGCTGTATTTCCTGGTCCGCACGAGTACTCGAGGCTTGGAGGTTGTATCGAGAGTCAAGGAGACTCCAGTTCAGGAGAGTCAAGGTTACTCATCATACTTGACTTTCTCATGTGAGCATCGAAGATTCATTAAATTGAGTGTTTGATGCTCACATGTTTGCACTATGCCCACAACCCGGAACTCGCTAAGTTACAAACCATCGTCTCTAACTTCGAAATTGTTTGGATAAGGTGCAAATTCAGCTACTTACTGCAGAAGAAAATGTTTTAGAATCAGCGCAGGTCAAGAGGACAGCTTACAAATAGCTTATGACTGTGTCAAGATTCTGTGACTTTACCTGGACAATGTCCAAATCCGCTAAAAGGTATCGGAGGCATGAAACAGAAGAGTGCGTTTCGTCGAGCCTTTCTGAAATCATCGTGTCTTCGCTATCTCGATCGATCTCGGTCAAAAGCAACGTCAGTCGCTTCCGGACACGATTTATCGATTCGAGTCGCGTATCAAGTTGGACGCTACGAGTGCGAAACTTCAATCTTTTAGCATACAGCTTTGACTGGTGAGCACAACTGATTTCATCGAACTGAAGAGGACATGGCCTGCTTCGCGACTTGGTGTGGATCTTTCCTCTGTAACAAATAGGTTCTCTGCATGCTTGGACCTCGGTCAAGATGCGTCCTTTACAAAAGGTTCGACTTATGATTTTCTTTACAGTATCTCCACTCACTATGATACGTCGGGCTCATTCACAAGATTCCCAGGAAAGATCAATAAGTCCATGGGTATGCACTGAAAGAATAATAGCCTCATCTAGACCTCAAGGAAATAAACACAGAGTTTCTTCATTGAACTGTCTCAAGCGATTATACATGAATTGATAACAGAGTGTAGCTACATAATTTCTCTGTCTGCGGGTAATTCACATCTTTTACAGATCTAAGTAGCAGTAAAGAGATTGTCGACAAAGCACGATGACCGCCGCTTCTGAGTTCCTACGGACATATAATTAGCTAAGAAGGTCAGATCGATTCCCTGCGAGCTAAATTTTGTGATTAATCACCGGCCACAAGCGGCTCTCAAGATGTAACGTTTCTACTAAGCAGCCATGCAATTATGTACATGTGGCCATCGTGTCTTCGTCCATGTTATCTTCCAATCCCTGCTGCTTGACTTTTGTGCTACTTGTTCATCATCATACTCCTGACACTCGCCTCGTGGCTAGACCAACGGCGCGAGGTATCGTCTCTTGTTTTTCTAGGCACATTTTATAGATGAATTTAGTCATCTGCATCCATCTGACTACACTCTTATTCGTCTCACAATTTTCAAATGCTGCAAATTTCTCACCTAGACAATTCCAATGAATCAATGGCGCCCCAGTGCAGTGGGAAGAAAATGCACGGGGTACGCGTTCGCTGTTTCATGTGGCCCAGATCTGTAACCTTGCCTATCCTTCCTGCAGACAATACTGTTAAGCTCACTGCTCAACTGCAGCAGTGCTCGGTTGCCGATCTTCTCAAATTAGTCCACGCACGGAGAAAGTTGTAGATCGGGAGTAGAGGACACACTGTTGGCTTAGATTTGCATGCCGGCCTTGGCGTACACATGGGGTGGCAAGCGTGGACTCACGCGGAGCATAAGAGTCTGCGTTCTGGTGACTGATGCTCCCGATTGCTCGTCCATGTTCACGTCTTTGGGGCTAATGCCTTCGGGGAGCTGCAGGTCGCAGCAATGGAGGATTTGCGCCAAGCCGTATTCGACGGTGACGAGGCCCAGGTTGAAGCCTACGCACATCCTGCGTCCTGCACCGAAGGGCAGGAGCTCGAAGTTCTGGCCTTTGACGTCGATGGAGCTCCCGAGAAACCTCTCGGGCGTGAAATCCAGGGCGCTTTTCCAGATACTGGGGTCTCTGCCGATGGCGTAGGTGTTCACCATGACTCTGGTGCCTGCGGGGATGTCGTACCCGCCGATTTTCACATCGACATCCGACTGGTGCGGCAGCAGCAGCGGCAGCACCGGGTGCAGGCGGAATGTCTCCTTGACCATCGCTCGCAGGTATGGCAGCCTCGCGAGGTCCCCCTCCTCCACCACTCTCTCCCTGCCCACAACCTCGTCCAGCTCCTGTTGAGCCTTTTTCAAGACTCCAGGGTTCCGCATGAGCTCGGCCAACCCCCAGATCATCGATGCGGAGCTCGTGCTCGACGACGCTATGATCACGTCCTGCCATCCAGTCCAGAAATTAATTCACGAAATCATCGTCAGTCACTGGCGGCAGATATCCAGACCTTCACATTACTCACAATATAATCGAGCGTAAGCAGATCTAAATGACCCTTGGATTCCAAGTCCAAAGAGAATCGAGCTGCAAGCCAATGCGGAAGATATAATTCTCACGCACTTAGCTACTGGCGAGGTATGGCAGGGCACTGCCCAGGGGCAGTGCCCTGCCATCTGCAGTACATGGGTTCTGGAAGGTGGTTGTTGTCGACTGTGCATGCAATTGTCGTTGAAAATGGTGCGGATCAGATGAGGGGAAATCAGGTCAAATACGTACCTGAATCGAGGCTTTGATCTGATCATCGGAGATGAAAAATTCGTTCGTGTTGTCCCTCTGAAAAGCCAGGAGCACATCGACGAAGTCCATGTCCACGGAGTCTTTGGGAATGTAGCTGCCATCGGGATTGCGGTGGCTGGCCAATATGCTGCTGTAGAAGACGTCGGCCTGGTGGGCCAGCTTGCGCATTTTCTTCTCGACGCCTCCGAGGTCGAGGAACTTCAAGAAGGGGAAGAATTCTCCGGGGAAGAAGAAACTCGTCCCGCCGATCACTTTCACCAAATCCTGGAAGGCTTCGGCTCCCTCGGCCACATCCGTACGCTTCGTGCCGTAGTATCTCCTCCTGAAGTTAAACCGAGTTGTCTGATTGAGTACCAGTGCCGTTAGTTTTGCATCGATGTCCACGAGCTGTCCGTTGTGGCCGTCGGACAAGATATCTTCCACGGTGTTTCGGAGTTCTTCCGTCCTGATTTTCTGCACACGTTCGAGTGACATACATCCATTCGATTCCAACAAAAATCAGCTGCAGCATCAACAGAGATTCAGATAAAGTGTGCCACACGAGAAGACTCTAATTCAACTTCATATTGTGAAATGCACGATCCTCAATTGTGTGTCCTGCAGCCGGTTCATTGAGTGGTGGAGGAAACGAAGCATCTGTTCTGAACTGTATCTGCATCTGTTTACATGAAGCTGTCGGACCCAACCTGCTCAGTTGCAGGGCAACACTCTCCGTGAATATTGCATTCAAAATCATCAAGTTCCAGAATTGAGGAGAATTTACGAACGCTAGCTAGCTGCAGGACTGAAGCTCGAAATGCTTGTATCAACTTTCTGCGGGAGTGGTGATAGCAGATTTCACATTTGTGCAAGTGAATAATTTTCACAAAGGGAGCGCAGGTCGACAAGAGAGTTATATTGCGGCCGGAAATGAGGGCACACAGTAACAGAATTAGACCCAGATGCCTCTAGACTTGAACCAGAAGAAAAGAAAGAAACCCGAAAAAAATGACGAATAAACAAACCGTCAAATTGAATTTCAGCTTGAGCGGAGAAGAATAATTAGCCCGAGAGATGACAGGAAATTCTTCGTCACCCAGCATGCGGGACTGCGACTCGAATGGACAAAAATGGAAGTTCCTGACGAAAACAAAAGTGAAAGACGGACGAACTTAGACCACACCGTACCCACCTGCGACTGCTCGATTCGCTTGCCAGACAGGAGCTCGGTGGACATGATTTTGCGCATCATTCGCCATTTATCTCCGTAGGGCCTCAGTGACGTCGACTGGTTGTCGTAGGCCAAAATTTTGCCAGATTCAAAGGTGGGCCGAGAGGCCAGGTGCTGGTCTTGAGTTTTCAGGACTTCCCTGGCCAGGTCCGGGGAAGACACGACCACTGTCGGGTACACGCCGAAATTCAATCGGATAATATGGCCGTGCTTTTGGGACATTGCCAGTAAAGTTTGGTGAGGAGCAGTGCCGAGCAAGTGAAGGTGTCCGATCATGGGCAATCCTCGAGGTCCAGGCGGGAGTCGGAGCTTGTTTCCCAGTACGCTCTTCAATATCAACATACCAACTAGTATAACGATGCATGCTGTGGCGACGGTATACTGACTCATAGTAGTACCAGCAGCACTCATGAGATCGAGAACGCTTCTTCTAGTAGCTTCCATAATATTTTCCATGGCGTACGTCGTATAGCTAGCTATACTATACCTCGTCTCTCTCTCACTCCTTCGCTCGCTTTCGGTATTCCCTCGCCTGTACTCGAGCCGCTCAGCTTGCAACAGCGCTAGATGTCGACCTCTCACCTCCGACAGAAGCTGGAACAGGCTCTGAGTACGCTTCGGCTTTGGGAGCCTCCTACTCCCCTCTCGAAATCTCTTGGAATTGTACAAGATACTTGCATACTCCATGTCTGTGCCCTTTATACTTATGAACCTGTGCAATAGAATATAGCGCATTTGCTTCGGAAAGAAAAAAAACGCGTAAAAAAAATCTGCAGGTTTTTGGTCCCATCGGAAATGATCCCGAGATGCAATTCAAAGCATACAGTGTATAAACATAAAACCTGTAGAGATTTTTAATCATAAGTCGAGGTCAAACGTGTGGTGCGAACTAGTATGAGATTTTGTCTTTCCGCTTTTTTTTATCTTTCACCGCACATTTCGGATTTTCCCTGCCAGCGGGCCATGTATATCACATGTTTTTCATCTTACATTTAGCAGATATCATGCCTGCCCCGTCATTTTTTCGATTTAACCCCACTGATGGCTCTCGCGAAGTTAGTGACGTCCGGAACTACCCTGGGGAGGACCGGATGTAAGGGCCCTTTGGGAACGGAGCTCCAGATTCAGGAAAGTTAGCACCTGAGAGAAGGCTATGGAAAGGTTTTAGAAAAGGTTCTGGACTTTTCTCGTGCGCTGCACGCTGCCACTATTGTCATTTTCGTACTCGAGAATCTGCTGTCTATGCTTTGGCGAGGAGAATGCCAAGGCTCTCTCGCCAGAGAAAAAGGTTCCTTGCGTGCTTTTGATCAGGTGGCAATGTCTGATCAACAGATGTTTTCCTTGAGCTCATTACGATCACGTAAGTAAGTTTACAGTAAAGGATTGACTGATTGACCGACTTACTGAAACGAATGTAATCTGGCAACCATATAATCGCTCTTCCGGATGAGCTGCTGAGCAATATCACTTTCTATTCCTTTGATCCTTCAAAATTCGCTCTCACGCCGAAAAGTGCCATTGGCCTTTCGCCAAATGAGATGATATACGAAGGGGCGGATGGATGATATACTTTTGCACTTGTTTTGCTATTGACACATTATATCCTCAATTTAAGCGAAATTGAGCGAGAGAAAAGTACATTCCAACTGGAGTACGGTATTTATAGACACATGGTCCGCTAGAAATAGATTTCACAATCAAAACACGTCGGTTGCTTCTCTATGAACCCGCAAAGTGTAGATGTCTAGAAAAGGACTGTTCAACGCTCGCATTTTTACCTTCAGCTACCTTCCTTCCAAGCCACTCAGCCTTTCCTTAGACATAGGGGTGCTCAACTTCATGTAGAGCCGCTGGCACTGCACCGTACTAAGACAGAAATTGATGGGAACATCGTAGTGATAGGAAGGAAAATGGAAATCAATTGTACTGTCTCAATCTGCCACAGATGCTGGTGTATCTCTCCTCCGTGATCCTGGAATGTTGCAAGGTTTAAAATAGTTCAAAAGATGGTGTCTTACTTACTTTCATACCTAGGAGCCGAGCCTTCAGACTTGAAACATCTGGAAACAACTGAAACTGAATTTTCATCAATCTTCGGAATGGTGTTGAAAAATTTGCACGTCCATTCCTTTAGATAGCATCTCATTGACAAGTGGATTTCAATCCCTCGTCTGCAACTTTGGTTGTTTTTTCTTACGCATGATGTGGCTACACGGGATCTTGACCAGCGGTGTAGAGATTTTAGTTGACCTGTAAGATTGAGACTTGGTGAACTGCATACATTGTCAAGATTCTGTCTTCCACTATTGACTATTAGTATGAATTAATCCATGGAGAAGAAAATAAAGACAAGTTGCTATCATAACAAACCTATCATTTGAAATTTTGGATGATAGGTTACAAAAGTAGGTGAGCACGTGAGTAACAGACGACACTATTTTGGCAAGAGTATAATATTAAAGCGGAGAACGTTGAGTCGCATTGGATGTAGATCGATTTCTAGGCTAGGGGCAAAACAAGGCCTCAACACCCAGCACTACAACTTAAGATAATGCTTAATGTTCCAGTTTCCGCATGGCTGCGAATTGTAGGAGTGTTAATCTTATTTATTATTAGGCCAGCTGATTCTGAGCGATGTGAATGGTTGAAAAGGTAATTATTAGGAGCTGTTTCGAGCAGCAGGATGAAATCTGACGTCGATCCGTGAAACCAAACCTCCTTCATTGAAATTTACAATACGTTTGACATACAATGTGACATGAATAAGTCGCCAGAGACCAAGCAAAAGAGGGCAAGATATATTCTAGAAGACTATGATCATCAGCAGAACAAGGAAATTCGGTTATCGTCGCTCCACCCCACACCGCTCCGCCCCGTCCCACAACCACCTCCCTCCCTCCCTCCCACCCCACACCACCAGAACCTCCCTCACCAGAGCTTCTTCCAACGAAAAGCTTTTGTGCAACAAGCACCAGATTTTAAGTCTGAATTGGAGCAGCAAAACATGGACAATCTGATAATGTAATTTTGTAAGTGTACTTACTTAATCGTTATGTAAAGTACGGACAATCGCTCGACTGTACTTTATCAATAACCTATCAGCAGTATCAGGTTGTCACCAAAGTTTGTCAAAAATATTTTAAGATGCGCTGTTAGATTGAAGAGCCAAATATTGCGATATTCTCTCTTGAGGGCATCAGAACTGGCATGTTATGCTTTCAGACGTGAAGAGCATGCGTTTTTTTTATTGCTTAGTGTGATGCAATAGCAGTTTGTAGACGATGATACCAACAGCGACTGGGGAGAAAAGATTCTCAGAGTTTTTGTTTCTTGTAATAACCGTGCAGATCTGGAAACGTTGGGCCCAGGAGGAATTTCATATATTTGTAAAATGCTCGGACAGAATCTGGTTGCGCCAGCTGACGTCAATGGCCACCTCGTTGTTCATCTTACGGAACACGCTTACCCAAGGCCAGCGCATCGGCGGGATTGATCATGGGCGGTAAAACTGTTCATCATGGGTCACGAATACTCGAACATATCAGATGCTTTAGCTCTGGCTCCATGCGCCATGGTCCCCCACGAGGAGATTTATACAACCAGGGACCGAGTAAAGGTCAACGGATTAATCCATGCTGCGTGCAGTTTCATTTACTTATATCAAAAGGAAAAGCGCTCAAGCCGCTGACGTGCCAATTCCACTCACTACTGTTCGGCAGATATCGCCGAAGGCAGGAAGCTGCGGAATCGGGTAATTTCATTGTCAGTTTGCCACTGCACATTAAATTGGATGCACGTATAATTGCACAAACGCAGCACTTCAACAGAGATGCGTGCCATGCACAGCGAAATTCTCAAACTCATTTTTGATAGTAAGTGACCCGATGCTCAATTCCCGAAAAAGAAGGATAATATGCAGGGTCAACCAATCATAAGAACACGGGTGTCCATTTTTTTCGATCGAAAGTCCAATAATGACGTACTCCTAGTTGATGCCATGACTCGAACTGCATTACGAAAAATAATTGAAGAAAATTCAAGAGGAACTGAAGAAGAATTCAAGATTCAAGAAAGATTCTACCGAACGTGCGCTCGGTAAAATCTCAGTAATCTCCTTCCGGACCTAGCCTAAACATATATGGGGTCCATTAGTTGCTGATAATCGCATTTCGTCTGGCCCAGTTGAAGGACAGAGCGCAGCCCAGAGAGTTGTAATCGAGACGTCTATCGGCCACTTGGAGGATGAATTAGAGAGAGAACTTTTCAGACCAAATCAGGTTAGCGTCTTGGACGGCGGGCAAATTCCTGCGGCTGCCTCCCACTCTCAAGCTGAGCTTGGTCTAAATTCTGGTTACGGTTCTCTAGATCGAATAGAGCTCGTCAACTGAGTAGAACCTCAGTCAGGTCTACTTGAAGAAGCCGTCATTTTCCGATTCCGTCCAGATGTGACGACTTTTGTGACGCCATTTAATCTGGACTGGTTTGGGGTTCGATGAATTCGATGAATTCGATGAAGTCGGAGAACTTGGACCTCGTCGGGTCTGCTGGTATGCCGCAAAGTCACATCGTTTACGAGGCAGACGAGGTCAATGTTAGGGAGAAGCGAAGGTAGAATTATTTGATGTTGACATCAGAAGTCATACTGTGGCTCGGAAACCAAAGTATGAGGGACTTCGAGAGTGAAGCATAATTGAAATGCTTATCCGAATCCATGGCTACCCCGGTGACAAGTTCAGAAGGTAATCCTGATTTTCAAAGAAAACGCGGCATCATTCATTTCAATTGACTCCCAATGCTAGCTCCGCACTTGGTCAAGACTTTGAATTGGACTTGTCATCAGCACTGCATTCCAGCGCGTTTTGGCCGTTTTGGCTTAGTCACAGCTTTGAAGCTTTAAGAGAGTGCAGATTTTAAGTACACACATTACATCGAAAGAATCGATAATAGATATACTGGATGCCTATCGTAAACAGAGATGGGAAATGGAGATCTTTGCTCCACAACAAAACCTAGCGAACTAAACATTCGACAGCGAGATGGACTTGCCACTCCCTTCTTTTGGCTGGCTGCGATCGGGCCTGTTTGCTATGGCTAGTTCTGGTAACTGTTCTTTTCATGACGAGGTTTCATGTTATGTACGGGCCGTGTCCTCCTCCTTTCGCTCCGACATGGAATCCGGCTATCTGAAGTTTGTGTTGGCTTGGTTTGTAGATGTCTCGAACTTTGTGCACAAACATAAGTTACTACGGGTAGATCCGAGAAGCACTGGATCGTAGATCACGAAGTCAAACGTGATAAACTAATCGCACCAACACACAATCGGATGTTGAAATCGAGCACTGCGAGAGGCTCGACTTTAAAACTTTCTGGCTAACTATGAGGGGTCGTGTGAACTGAGGGCCGCACAGATACCGACAGAGATCTGAACTTCATTCGTTCTTTTCAACTTTACGTCAGCTCGTAGGAAATCGAATGAATGACGTTGATATCTTTTCTGGTAAATCTCTCGCGAAAAACTGCACACGTCTGTACATATTGAAGGATGAGAGAGCTACGTCTCAAAAGATGATGACTCAAAAGACTTTACGTGAGAAACAACGTAGGGCCGACCTTCTGGTCCAACAAGAAGGATTCCATCCTTTTCAATAATTGCTCATCTGGCCGTACTACTTAAAACAATCGAAGAGCTGTTTTCCAGTTGTGGAAGGTCGTTGGCGAGGCCTTTTCTGTACAGAGCTTCTTTTCGATGCAAGTCGAAGTTGTTTATGCAGAATTGTTCCTGTCCACAGTAAGATTATCAATCCTGTTCACCAAGCGTACTAGAAACGTCTTCCGTCGCGGGGAAGGGAAGCGTACCGGCGAGGAAACCTGGAGAGCCTTCCCGTCCTCGGGGTACATAACAGCGCATCACATTTCGGGAGCTGGACAAATGTTGGAAGATTTCGAGTCGGTCGTTTCATCTTCATTGTCACAATGTCACAGTACGAGCCGAATCTCATATCGATCAATTTACCTGCTTAGTTCCCCAGTCGACTTGTAATCCTTTAGCATGTTTTAGAGCCATCGGATCATATCAATTTCTCCTCACTAGCCTTTTTAGAACTTACACAGGTACGAAGTGTGTCAGGAGCGCATGGAAGCATTGGTCGAGGCGCAGTGAGCTCTCGCTGCATAAAGGACGGGAATTTAGTGCTTTTCAGCTTGATGGTGAGCATGTGGAGCCCTATGACGTACTGCCCTTCTTTAGACGGCTGAATCGAAATTTTGTCTCGAGATGCTGGTTTGTCTGTTTTTCTTCAATGTGGTCTCATTTTTTTGTATTACACATCATATAAATTTTATGAACATCAAGTGTGCGAGATAATTTTCCAGACAAAAAAGTATCTCAACTGAGTTTTCATGTATGGTCATCAATCAGAGCATGTTTCATGAGACCAGTTGGTATTTACTGCATCACACTATGTACCGGAAATGTCATCCATTGTACGACAATAGGTAGCTAAAAAAGGTCATTCCATGCATCTGTTGCTTGACACATTGTCCCAACATGAAGAATCAAAACAAGCATCATGAGCGATGAACTTCAAAGTCCTAGAAATACGTTTTGCGATCTACATATTCTTTCTTGGTATAAATTTGTAATCAACTTTAAGGGATACTCTGAAAACAAAACTCACAGAAAAAATCCCAATACCCTTGGGTGTGTTACTAAACATATAAAAGGAGACTTCTATATGTGTTGCCTATTGATTTATCGATACATGAACAATGTCCATTTAAATAAATAAATACTTAGATAAATCTTCGCTGTATTTGAAGAAGCAAAGAATTTACATATCATTGTACTAACTGACTGATAAAATCGAAAAACTTAAATCAGGAGAAGGCTAAGACAATTTTTGGTGGAAATTGGACATAAATTCATGATTTTGCCAATACATTCCTGATTGAAATTTTATGAATTAGTTCCTAGGACTTGTTTTGTACATAAGTGATATTATATTCTGAATTGCTACTTGAGCTTAACAAGACATCTAAATTTCTGAAATTTTCAGAGGTTGATAAGATCAGTTGGGTTAAAAAACTTATTTTTGCTGTCTTTGAAAGAGAGAGAGGAGCTCAAGATGGTGGCAAACGCAAAGTCAGTGCCCAACTGTGTCACATGAGATGTATATGATATCTCTAGTGGAAACCAGATAAGATTATAGCCCATGAAGATTAGATCTGGAAAGGATGTTCTGAATTCCGTTGATAAAGATGTTTTTTTGGACATTTTAAATCATGGTAAAGCACGGACAAATGTTAGTGGGACTTTTATCCACGATGGAAGTAGATTGGGTAAAAGATTCGACTTTCTCAACCTTTCATACTATCTAATGCATATACGGCTCCAAGATGACAGCGTGGACTTTTTGAGAAGAATTTTTATTATTTAGAGTGATGAAACATTTTTAAACGTATGTAGTATTTATTTCATGCTATCTTTTCCTGAAGATCTGTAATGGTGATTTATGCTCACCTGATCGTCCACTTTATCAGGAAAAGGTTTTTCCTGAAACGTAATACCATTGAATGTAACAACTTCTGCATATAACGATACATTATATTATTGCACACGTTTATTTTTGTCTGTCTTGTTCGTAGAACCAATTTTACTAGCTTCTATTTGGAGTCGATATGTTGGGTTGCACTACAGGTCACAAAAAATGTCCATGGTTGTGGGCATACACACGAAAAGTCATTGTCCTGTTATCAGAGAGTAGAAACGTTCAGCCTCATGAAGCATTGATATTATTATATTCTTTGCTATCTTGATTTTGTGAAATGCTTATATATCCTATCTTGATAATTGAGATGTAGTTGCAAGGACCAATAAAAAGACGGTAGTAGCCACAGTAAAAGTTACCACTCTCTTTTGACTTTTGATTTTGGATGTGGGCAGGTTTTGGCCGGCGTACGGCTTGTTCATCTCTTGGACGCTTCCAACCGTAAATGATTTAATTTCTCGGAATTTATTAATATATCACAAAAGTGACAATGAGTACGTGGCCTGTCTTACGAAAGAAATAATTCGCACTAGTTAGTGGGAATATGTAACGTGTCTTTTGTGACATCAACAATATGTGCCATATCAGATGAATGTAAGCACGAATATATGGACCCCACGGTTCGTTGTTGAAGATGGGGCAAGGGAGGCGTTGCGCAATCTATCACCCATTCGACAAGGAAAACACAGTGTTTCTTGTTTAGAGTCCCCATGGGCAGTGGAACCCCAGGTGTAGATTTCTATTGATTTTTGATGCTCATGAAATTAGATTCTCTTCACGTCTGTGACAGTAGTGGGCATGAAGTAGGGTGTGTGCTATTGAGTGTGAACGACATTATGGAGAGGCAAGAGTGTTCTCGAGCCTCGGTTCTCAAGTGGAACAACTGTCAGGAGAATAACTGAGCAGTAACCGTCCACAATTCTCGAAAGAAGAGCGGACGACGGTGTAGGGGTACTTGACCAAAGAACATTAGCAACACCGAGTTCACCAAACTCATGCCGTTTGAACTTGATTCTAGAGTGGAAACAAACGATTCTGTCCTTTTTATCCTCATGTAGCGTAAACAAGGAGTTTGAAGCCATATTGACGAGACAGTTTGGAGCCATTTCCGTAAGAATTTGATCCAATGTGGAGACCTGCAATTTTGTGTTCGACATCTTCTCATACTAATGGGTAGAGGCACAAAGTATCGGCATTTCCCATTATTGCTGCTCTTTGCGATACTTAGAACATGACCAAACAGGATTCATTGGAATAGTTGACCCCATACGTCACTTGTGACTACTTCGTTGGATTGACGGAGTTTCAGTAGGGTGCACAATTCTGATACTATTAAACATACACACGTATACCAAAATTATGTGACGAAGAGACCAACTTTACCCACATTCGAGACTGTACTTATTGCAGATGCTGCTCAAAACTGAAATGATCACAAACTCTTGATATGCTTACGTGCAGCGTGCCAATGCATTAGCCTAGAACTCTGAAAAATGGGTGATATACATGGAGGAATGACGAGGAATTATGCACACAGTTATGAATGTGATCACAGTCTGTCCATCCACAGTATACATTCAGTACAAACAATTGTAACCATTTAAGCATAAGGAAGCTTTTCGAAGTTATGTCTGTGAATGTATCTTAAAGAAGAAGACAGTGACGAGTCTCGACTGTTCCGGACTACTTCCTAGTATACAATAGGCAGTTTAATTATGTTGAACACGGCCTCTAATAAAAAACTCAAGATCGATAGAAACTAATCTCTGATCATTGTGTTGGCAGTTTCATCGTTCTAGCTATTGTGACTCAGTACGGGTCGGAAGAAAATCTGGACTGGACATTTGGCGCTCATGAAACCCACTGTCTTGCGTGCTTTATGTTGGGAATTTTGAGACGAAATTTAGAGGAGAGATCGTGCACGAGATGCTGACTGATCCGGCACCTGGCTCCAGGCTTGAAGCTCACCAGCTTCGGGCAACCGAGGGCGATTTCCCTCACCCCGTGATCAGTTAGGTTTACATCGAGCTCCAGCGAGACCAGATTGACCATGTGCGTGGCGATGGCTCCGGCTTCGGCGTTCCCATTTTCGTAATATTCCCGGTCATTGAAAGCATTGTGCAGATTTCTGGCAAACTTTGTCAGTGCATGGCAGTTCATGCCGATCTCTCTTAAGGAATCTGCAGTCACGTTGAAACAGCCACTCAGATCAAGACACTCCAGCAGATGACAATTTCTCGCGATGTGTGAGCATCCGGTATCCGTCAAGGTGGTCATCGTATTCAGCTCTAAAATCTTCAAGCCGGGCATGTAAGTTCCGATTGCTAGGGCCTCCTCATCCCCATGCGGCGGCCTTAGATTGTCATCGTATAAACTGAGGCTTCTGAGCATGTTGCGAGAGAGCTTCGTCAGCGAGGGATTGTATGTTCCGAACATCTTCAAGGTTTCCTTCGATATGTTGTAGCAGTCGCTGAGATCCAGCGCCTCGAGCTGCCGGCAGCGTTGGGCCAGTTCGATGGCCGAAGAGTCATGGAGCTGCGAGGTGTTGGTGATCGTCAGGCTTTTCAACTGCGAGCACGCCAGTCCGATGGCTTCGACAGATTTGATCGTGCATAAGCCTCCCGTGATACAAATTTCACGCAGCTGGCTGCCGCTAAGATCCAAGAAATGTTGAATTATACTTTGCTGCGCTTCATCCGACAGGCGATCGTCATGTCGAATCCACCGGTCCCTTGTCCATGTCGTCAGATCCACGGTTCTCCACGACGCGGGGCTTCTCGATGCGTCCCTCCACGCCTTACAAACCAGAGGCACCACCCTCAACTTGTCCTCGAGAGGTACGTGATTTATGATCTCCTCCAGAGCTACCATGCGGCCATTGAATGCTTCAGAATTCCCTTCTCCAGTTTCTTTGACGTCAATCTGTGAAACAATTTCCTGTACCCGCTGTGATGGATCGAAAGGTGGGCTATTTGTGATTTCCCCATGAGCTGCAGCAGTTCGAGTGGATATCTCAGGACTTCTTTCTCGAATTTCTTCTTCGGTCACGGTTTCATCATCGATGTCGAATCCATGTTCGCTGTCGAGCGACCTTTGATATAAATCGATTTCTGCAACTTCGATGCCTGTTGTTGTAATCGGTGCTGCTGCCATGGTGCTTTTTTCTTGTTGTAAACTGTCCGCTAAACGTGCCCTTTTTCTCGATCTCCTGTCTCTGTCATCCTCGCCACCACCGCCAGCATAGTCGAGTCCAATGCACCTGTATGCTGCTGAGAAGCACGTCCGCACGCGCCGAAACGCAGGCATCTCGAGCTATGGAACTCCTCCGATAAGCAAATTGTTCGGTCAAACGAGAAGACGATTTCAAAACGTGATCGAAACGTCAACTCGTTTGCGACAAGAGAAAGTGAACGGCAAGGATCAGTCTACACCACAAAGCTCATAGAGCTCACCCAATTTATCCCTTCTGTGATGTGTTGCAAGGCTTGTTCGCAGTTCGTAAATGGAAGCGGGATTTTACATAAACTAAGATATCTCATCTCTCATCGATCTGCACTCTAGGTCTGCCCGGAATAGACTGGAAGGCCTCATTTCCATTGAGTTTCCATCAGAATCTGACGAGACGTGTGATTCGACTCCCTGATTCTATGTATCGTACCACACACACTGCTTACAGAAGAGAGTGAGCTTCACGACTGCCCATCGTAAAGATTTGACAGCTATCGTAGAGAGATGGTTAGGCTTGCCAAAAGGATCAGCCATTTGCCCCAGAAGAAGGATATTCAAACCCTAAACCCAGAAGAGGATTTTCAAAGTGCGAAGAGTCAACGAGATGCCCGGCTTTTCAACGACGACGTCCTTTGCGACTCACGAAGTGCTAGAGCATCATGGTACTATGATTTCTGCCCCATACACAGAACGGTGTGAAGATTCGGGTGCTAGTCATTGGAGAAGACCAAAGTCGATAACGAAAGATTAGATTCCCGACGCGGGTTTCAAGTGTGGACCGTGTCCTCGTTTGAGCAGATGACATGAGCTCACTGTGTTGCATACAAACAAGGCTCCGGCAGGGATAGTCTTTTGTTCGGATGGATGGCATGACATGACCTCACGGTGCGACTTGCACGCAAGCTTTGGGCAAGTTGTAATGTCCCTAAGAATAGGTTGCAGGTGAAATCTGTCCACGAGTCAACTACAACGACATGAAATGTCTTATCCTTAACACACCACAAGGCGATTCAATCGAACAAGGCCTGTCGTTTCTCCAGCCAGGTGGGCAGATTTGATGCTGTAATTGATGGGTGAGAACTCTTCAGACAGAAGTATACCTGCTGACTGAGATTTTCAAATGACCAAAAAGGGACACAAGAAGATCTCCGGGCGTGGCCAGCATGGGCTAAGATTGGCTGACATAGAATTTGCGCGTCTGACGTGAATTCAAGAGATACCTTGTGCACTTTTTGACTTCCTCCAATCGTCAAAGTAGTCGTAAGTAAAGTCGAGTCGTGTATCTTCGTTGTCCGATGACAGCGAGAGCTCGAAGGGTTTTTCCGTCTCGAAACGACCGATTAGATTTCAAATATACTGTATCACTTGCCAAGATTGAGTGGATCGAAAGTTGGGTGGCATGGCAAGCAGCACCTCCATTCTGAGATACGGGGAGACTCTAGCAGCTGAAAAATGTCCGTGTCTAGGCTTAGGTCCAAAGAGCTACTGAATCCTCATTTAGAAGCTCTAGATCATTGTAAAAGTCGCATCACGTTATGCATGCAGTCATCATCGAAAACCCGGTGCAGACTGTATCTGTGAAGTTGAGAATCGGGGCATGCATGGCTGAAGCAGCGACTGAGAAAAAGTAAATCACAATCCACTTAGACTTATGAAGTAGCTGACGTGCAGACCTTTCCTCGCTGTTGCAGATTTGGCAAGGTCGAAAACGTTGATTAAAAAAATCAGATCTTCCCTCTTCGACAATGATTGTAGCTTGGATAAGACCCGAAGAAAAATCCCGTGGTAGGTTCTCTCTAAGTGCAACAAATCGGGGAGTAACCTCACGTTTTGCTCTCATGGATATTAAGCATCTATCTAAACCACTCGAGAACTGCAATCATGAAACATTTGCGATAATCCAGTGTTAGCTTCTGCAGTAGAATTGTCATCTTGCTCTTTACTTACTTAGAACTAATGATCTCACTTCAAAGAGCTAGCTACGTACACAAGTGAAGGGGAAGTAAGTAATATAGAGAAAACCATGGCAAGACCCCATCATGAAGTACATGGATGAAACCAAAAGTTCAGATGAGGCTAGGTTCTGATAGCATCACGATCACGATCGGATATCCACAATTAGCTTGTTAGCTTCATACAGTACTCGTTCGAGCAAATGGACGGATTGATTCCTTCTATACGCATCAAGTAAGAGAAGTGGGGACGCGTTGAGTAAACAAGCGATGCAGCTCAAAGCCAAGATTAGTAAACACCGATTTTCATTCTTCACAAGCACTTTAAGTAAACCTCACATCTTGACCGAAGCACAAGATGATCAGTATTATTTAATTCCAACAAAGATAGTAGATTCTTCTTCTATAATCTATGATGAAGATCTTGTATATTGCACATCTGTTATGGCATAACCATGTGTAGCCATATGCAAATAGTGCTTAAGTCTGGTTCAATATTGACTACTGAGTTAAGTATATTGGAACGAAAACTGAAATAAAGAAGAGAGAAAAAGGTCCGGCAAAGTCAGAATTTATCAACACTCGTAGAACCATAATTGCAAACTTTGCATACACTGTTTTTTGGAGATAAAAATATCATAATCTATTTGATACTAAAACGTTAGCTAAATTTGCGGAGCTTTATGATATCACTTTGAAGGATGAGAGATATAAAATGCAGTAGCTTAACATATTCAGTACTAGATTTTGTGACCTGTAGTCAAGAGAAAGAAAGACACATGAGTTGAAATTCAAGGTCCTACTATAAAGATCAAGTTTTAGTTTCAGCACAAGTGTGCGACGTAATTTGTTTGGCAACAGTTTAAAACTGGCATACTTTGATGCTAAAACTCAAATAGATGGAAAGAGTTTAGCAATTAGGGTTGGAGGCACAACCTCAAAGGGCATGCCCAGGACGGGGGTATGCCTTGTTCGCAGTCTTCCATACAGGCATGCCTGTATGTAAAAAGAAAATTATACGAATGTCTAGAATTTTTCAACAATTTTATTTCTTAGAGTGTTTTACTTCCGTATAAGTATATTTCCGAATACGTTAAATGTACGTATTGTAATACAGGCACGCCTGGAATCATGAGGTATGCCTTTTGACGTTGAAAGGGGGCATGGCATGCCTCAAAATATTTCGCTCTGCCTCCAACTCTAACCGCAATGGTCTTCAGAACTTGTCTTTTCAATCCTAGCATGGTGTTTCAACTGTATGTGTGAAGCATTTTTTGAATATTACAAAAAGTAATATTTGCAAGAGTGTGAGAAGTTCGTCTAAAATATTGAACATCAGAAAAATTTTAAATGATTCAAAATGTGTTTTAAGAGTTATTTGACACCAATCTGTGAACTTAATGAGAATATATAAGTAGAGTTTTGAATTTTGAACTGAGTTTATATCATGAAAGATCATGAAATATATTATTATATTTTCTGAAATTAATTCAAAATCCAAGATAAAATAAATCAAGACTGTTAAAAGCTTGTCTAATTTTTTAGGTATGAATCAAATGAGTATATTATTATACAAATCCAAAAAGTACACTGTGTTTTTTCGAACTATTGGAATACAATTAATATATTCAAAAAGTGCTTTGGTTTATAAAAATTAAATCTTATCAAAATAAATTTGGAATTTTTTTCAAATTCAAAAGTTTTATAAAAAAATCGTTCGAAATAACATAATTTTTAGATTGTTGAGTCATAAAATTGATCGCATACGACATCTCAGATCCTCCACGACAATGTGTAACAATGACTTTTGCATTTCCGTTTGTGGCTTTTGCTTTTACATGCTCATAACATCAAGTTTGCATTGGCTTTAATCTTCCACTGGTCTTTTTAGAGCCAAATAATCTTTTCTTGAATATCGTAATATTTTATATAATATACAATGTAATTCAAAAAAAATAGAATAGACAAAAATGAAATAAATTAAAATATTATAATAATAAAAATTAAACTAATCTAATTTGGAAATCATTCTAGTCACCATTCACTACTATCCCAATATTGGTTCACTTTAATTTCTATAAAATAAATTGGTTTACAATTTACTTCATATAAAAGTATGACATGATTACACACATTTTATGTAAATTCCTAATATTACTTGCACCAGAAGGAATCATTCGATTGTACGAAGAGTTTCTTCACCGTATCTCTATACGGGATTATAGGTTGGCTAGCTCTTGCTTGTTTTTTTTTTTCGTCTTCATAATATCTGGATAGTCCTTTCACTGTGCTTTTGTCCGTGACACATTGTAGACTGCCGGTGTTCTGATATGATGTTCTATTTATGTTCCGATAGCGCAGGAGTGAGTGTAGCAAGAAGCTATAGATACATATGTTAGACAACTGGTTTTACTCACAACGTCCACTGGGGACTAGTTCTCTACTCGTACATTATTACGTACTGTAGGTCATATTTAAAACATCAATAGGGGTAGAAAAGTCCTCACTGGGTGAAGGACACCTCGACCAGTCCGATAGGTAGAACATCTCCCAGATGGACTAATATACTCCAATGATTTGTTAGTTGATCCTTATTGGTCTCTCTCGAAACGTTTCATCGTATTGGGATCAAAGTTCCTCGCTTGAGGTTTCAAAATGCCTTTACAAGACTTGTAGCGAATTCGAAGCCTCAATTGCAGATCTATTGTTTGCTGTTATGAGAAGCCAAGTGTAAATATTAAATTCACAGCTGGCTTATGGCAGTGGCAGCGGCTAGAGAGCTTATAGTTTAAAGCAATATAAGAACGGCTTCGGATGGTGTCCGTTTCTCAATGCAGTTGTTTGGATTCAACCACACTGGCCTCTCAATTTAACACTACTTCACCTATTTGAAGTGCAGAGCTGCCTCTGGAATAGTTTTTTGTCGTGTGAACACATTATTGATGCCCAGAGAGCAATGAAGAAACACCAAACACACAAATAGAAGACTTCAGATAAACCATCCAGACAATCTCCCGGACGCTGAAATGAAAATGACGTGAAATTGGAGACTATATACGTGCATGTTGGACACTCCTTGTTAAGAAATACGAGATTTCTGAAAGTTCGAATTTTGTCCGCACTTACATACAATCAGAAGCAAAATGCATTGTCGCAACACAGGCAATAATGGTGGAAGTTCTGAGAGATCAAGTTCTAAATTTCAGGCACATTGAACTCAACTACGTAATTATTGAGCCATCTAAATTTATGGTCGGCCGTGAATTCAGAAAATCAAAATAAACATTTTGCTGCTTTCAAGAAACACAATTCAGAGGATTAGTGCCTACACTTTTTCATGAAACGTGGGAAGTCCAACTATGCTATGAATAACTCCCCGTTGTTTCTAGATGTCTTTTTGGAATGTACGAAGAAGTTTGCAGATAATAGTTGATTATAACAAAAGCTCACATCAGTCAGGTTCACTTTAAACTAGACTGTTTGAACAGAGGATGAATCAGTCGCTATCGGTCGCTGGTTCATATCTCTTTCTACAATCCATTTCGTCTCATGATCCATATTTTATCAAATTTTGTCGGATCCGGTATACCTAAGCTTTAAGTGAGTCAAAACCTCCTACTTGCAAGCTCAGATTTCTACAGACAGAACGTCCACTCGAAGTAATAAAGGCGAGTAATCATAAAATCACGATATCGTCAATCTGCGACTTGTACAACCGGAAAATTTTATGAATGCAAAACTGTCAGAAGTGAATCACAGCATACCAGCACAAAGTTGAAGAATAATGCGAAGACTGGATCGCTCCATGTTACCGAATCGTCTCATCGGGTATGCAAATTCTCTTCGCGTACAGCCGCCAGCACATTGATCAATTTGTGGAGGAGGTGGCTGTGAGATGAATAGATCATCTCAAAGAGTGGAAATATTGCAGTCTTGGAGGATGTCACTTCCTGAGGGAATCATGGAAGATAGCAGCTGTAATGGTTATGTCTATATAAATCCTGGAGACATCAGGTTGATCTAAAAAGCTGCTCACGCGAAGCTTGGAGTTACCATCACTTTAGAACAGATAAATTCATAACTGTTGCGGTCCACGCGAATGTCGGGCTAATCGCCGTAATTACCAAGGCTGAGAGTGATTCTTCAAAACTAAAATTTCATTGCAACATAGCAGGAGATTGTTTTGACAAATGATACAATCGTTAAATTTGATCTTGATTTTCCTAGCAGAATGAGTGACCATACCAAACGGCAGGTATGCCAGGGTTGAGACTAAAGCGTCGAAGAATTATGTGACCGTGCTGTGAGATCCATACGGACAAAAGTATAGTTTCCATCTTCGAGCCCCATTCACTGGAAAAGAAATCAAGTCATGCCAGAGCAGCTGTCAAATTTGATTGCACATTTCAGATGTCAATAAATATATTCCTAGGTTGCTTGCAGTGAAAGGCTTGAAGCTCTCATCAGTCACTGTTCGATTCACTTATCTGAGCCCAGATTATACAATCTCCTCGGTTGGGACCTTAAGCACAATTGGCGACCGGCATGCAGGATCGAGATTCAATACCTGTAGACGGAGGATCAAAATACAAATTTTCTCAATCCCACTGTTTGCTTTGCGGTCGATCTGGACCGAATGGCAGCAGGATAGTGGGTTACTTTCGATGACATATTTCACGGGTATGTAGTCAAGCCTTCTCGGTTGGATTCCTCATATGACGGGAGAAAAAATGTGAAGATTAAACTATCCATTCCACGACCCTGAAAGAGATCAGCTTCGGATCTCCACGGCCAATTCATGATCTACGCTAAAGGTCATGTTAATCAGTTGTGATCTAGACGAAATATAGTACAAGCTTTTTACGGTCATGGCAGGTCCGATTACGGAAGGTATAATTGATGCTCAATCAATTATACCAGAAAGATAAGCAATTAGTACGTTGATACCAAGTCAAGTGGGCAAACGCCGAAACGTATTTTAACATATTTTAGTCTGTTTGAAAGAATTTCCAGACTGCCCTTTGACCTTCGAAGGTCATTGTCTTCTTTGATCCGGTCAATGCGATAACAGGTCAGTCGTATCAGCTGACAGTTTCGGCCATCCGTGGCTTCTGGAAACGCGCTGTCAAATTCACTCAATGACTGCCGGGATGAACTCAATCCTATCTGCTTAGTTCTAGCTCTGTTTCAGGATTGTCTTCATATCCAAAATGTATAGGTGACACACTTCAAAGCATACTATGACACCTCGTGGTCGCCAAATACGTCAGGTGGAAAACCTTGCAGCTGCTTTCGGTAACGTATGGCATGGTGATGATACAGAGACAGAAAGCGTTCATCTAATGTGCAGTGCTGGAAGGATTAGGGTTTTGAAGTTATTTCTGAAGGGGGCCCAATGTCTACAGACTTTTTCAGGAGAATATTTGACGGGCATCTAACAAACTTCAGTATCTGTAAACAAAAGCTGATGGTCAAGACTTGGAAGTTGAGGGGTCACCCAGTTCTGGAATCCGTCTGTTGTTTTATTGTTCCTCGAGCTACCAATTATCCTTCTGAAGCTCAAGCCTTGTACTCGATACTTTCAGGCACCTCAGGCTCGGCACAGGTTTCGTGCCACAAGGTCAGATCTGATACGCGCAACTGCAAGGTCAGAATCCAGCTTCAATTATAATTCCAGCTTTCCATCGATCGCCACCGGTCCGTTAGGCAGTCATAACCGAGTCCTCAGGCTCTTCTCGGCCTCCTTCAGAGCACAGTCAAAGTCCGTGGCCGCATGGTTTCAAAACACGTGGGTTCTGCCATTATAAAATGCGCCAAGAGTCGAGCAGCCCTGTAGCATCTGGAGCTCCCGGGGCAAGTCCATCACAGGCGATTGAGGATGTCGAAGGAGCTGTCATCTGGCGGGCCCTGGTACCCGGTTTCGAAGCCTCCAGTCTATAAAGAAGAAACAGAATGCAGCGAGACGATGTGTTCCTTTCTTGGCTCGCATCAGCATGCATCCGATCTTCACTATCGAGCACTCCCCACCTCACTTGTTCGCTAGAGATTGGTAGCCATCGATGGCAGTAAATTCGATTCAGTACGTGATATGGTGCATCGAATTCCAGTAAGATCCAGTTTAGTGAAAACTCCACCTTCAAAATATAAATATTCTTGATCCATGGGCTGGTTGGATGCAGACAATTGCGTAATCGATTGACGAGCACAGAAGTTTAGGTCGGACGAGAGGACCGGATACAATGTCTTCGAAATTTTTTGAGAGCTTGAGCTCGAGTGCAGGTGGTGAAGACACGGGAGTGGGAGAGGACGAATTTCTGGCACGGAGTTTGGCGTCTACAGTCTGGAGTGTGGAGCTGAGAACTCAGAGTCCAGCAAGTCTTCAAGTTCAATCACGTCGAGGGGAGGTCGTGGCTCCACCACAATGGCACTCTGTGGCCATGAAAGAAGATCGGGAAGAGCGGCCTTGGGCTGATTTGAACGCGGAAGTCCTGGCAGAGATTTTTGATCTCCTATCGTTCGAAGAGAGGCTCACAGTATTGCCGCTGGTTTGCAAGGACTGGAGGGAGGCATCGCTCTACCCTGCTTCTTGGAGGAACGTGGACTTGAAGCCATGGATAACCCGGGAGGTAGGCCCTGTCCGATTTCGTGCCTCGGCCAGAGAGCTGAACATGGATAGGCTAGTCCGTTTTGTCGTGGACAGGAGCTGTGGGAACCTTCGCCAGCTTCATACCAGATTCTGCACCGGTGAGGCCCTCGATTATCTGGCCGAGAAATGTCCACAGCTAACAGTGCTGTCGTTGTGTGACTGCGGCATGGTCCAGGACGAGTCCGCCGTCAGGCTGGCCGAGCGCTGCAAGAAAATCGAGGAGCTCGATTTGAGTGATTGCTACGAAGTTTCCTCCAAATCGATAGCAGCCTTCGGATCCAAATGTCCCCAGCTGAGACATTTTACTCGCCGAATGGTAAATTGGAACATGTATAAAGAATCACCACCAAGACCACGAGGAGACATGGACGCCTTTGCAATTGCCAAGTCTATGGCGAGCCTGAAACACCTCGATTTGACGAGCATGTTTTCTTTGACCGATGCGGGCTTGATACGTATAGCCAATAGCTGCAAGGATCTGGAGACCCTCGATATTTCTGGCTGCTTCAAAGTTTCTCTAGCAGCTCGGGACTTGGTGCGTAGTTTATGTCCCAAGCTGACACACTACATAAGACCAATGATGAGGAAACCATGGTGCAAAGACCTATGTGAGCTGATTAGGACCTTCCCCGCAGAAAATTCCTAGATCCATGCGCGCAAGGAATACTGACAACAAGTTTCGGGGCACCAGAAACAGAGAGGAAAGATGTGATTCGAGCTACATCAGAGAGGAACTTCGGACTTGAAAATAAATATCACGGGTACAGACAAGTAGGAAACGGAATCACATGCATAGCTCACTAGAGGAGGTGTCTTTACATTCGTCTTTCATCTCTGCCATTATATCAACATTGCTCTGTTCTTCCAAACGAATAATCTTTTGCTGTAGTCTCGATGAACATCTCAGTGCCTCGTGCCACGTTTCGGCTCCTTTAGTCTTCACGTACAAGATGGATCATTCTTATTTTTCATTAGACATCCTCACCTCCTCTCAGATCATTGCATTGAGAAGATAGATGAACTACTCGCTTTCAGCCCCTGCTCCTGACGATGCCAAGGACTTTGACCAAGTTGCAACAACTGTGACGTGTGACGCTGAAAGATATATATATTATGGCCAGCGAGAAGGTGATGTACATAGTGCGCATATTTGTGACTTTTTTGTTAGTCCGTCTTACGAGTTATTTTGTTTGACATGGACTGTAGTCAGGATAAAGCCTATTGAACAATTGAAGATTCAATAAGAAATTTTTTGTACACTTCATATTTTCTATTCATTCATAGTTGACGTTTAGAGGTTACAAACTTTATGTACTTCAACTCACGCTGATTATTTTCTTCACAGCTAGAGATACCGCAATAACTTCTAATCTGGTTGTTAATTCATTGACATACTGGCATATGAGCAAAAGGAAAAACGTAGAAATGAAGATCTAATAATTCGCAACAAATTTGAAAACGTGTCAGGGGAACTCCAAAAGTTTTCTAATAGGCGTTACTACAAGACAGCATTAAAATACGGAGGCTTAACAGTGCTTTCAACAAATTAATCTGGTCACTTTCGAGATTAATTTACGGCCACTATTGGAATAAGCACTACTTATCCCCCTCCCTGGCTCGATATGTAAGGTTGGTTGGGGGCTACCGTAAAGCCTGGGCTATGGGTCTGTATAATTGGATTCTTCACGCGCTGAGAAGTATAATACCGTATAATATAGTATAATACCAAATGTATTATACAACACTTAGAGGTCCGCCTAACATTTTACCCTAAACCCTTATGTTATCATTCCTAGATGTTACTCTCGTCCATCATCTCTTTGGCCTCGAAGATATACTCTTTATGCCGCGGACTCACTCGGAAATGTTAACACGATCAAATTCATAACTTCTATCTTTACATGGATGCGGGTCGTTGCAACGTCCACTCGGAAATGTTAACACGATCAAAATCATAACTGCTACATTTACATGGATGCGGGTCGTTGCAACGTCCACATAAATGTGTTAATCTTCAATTTCAGGTTCATATCCGCTTCACTCCGCCACCAAAGCCAGAATCACGGTGCTCCTCCGACTGCTCATCGACTCCGACTTCCACAAGAACGATGTCGCAAACGACGGCCGTGTAGGCGATACATAGCGTGTAACCTTCTGAAGCAATCTCACTCGGAACACTTACTTCACTTCAACTAATGCCATCCGATAATTGAAATTCCTCGACAAAAGAGAACTGCAATTCCTTAAAAACAGCGACCGATGAGGCAAGGCATGCGAGGAGCATAGTCGCTCGATGCGCAGAGGCGAGTGAGACCGTGCAAAGCCAGGGTGCATGCGCGAAGCCGCACAAGTGCACAAGCGGCCGCGCAAAGCCGGGGCGGAGGCGGAGGATTACAACTTCAGGTAAGGAGTAATCTCAAGTACTAGCTAAATATATATAGGGAATTCGCCTGGACTAGGGATTCTCGTTCATTATCTCCTTGGCCTTGAAGATATACTCTCTATACCTTGGACTCACTCGGAAATGCATAACCAGCATAATTGCCCCAACCACCAGAATCCTCGTAAATGTGGTATTCTTCAAGTTCAATTTCATATCCGCTATCAAAATTCTAATTTATCCCCATTACCTGCTTTTGGGTTCCCCATTTTGAGTAGACAGAAAATGAAATCTTGCACTTGAAACATCCCAACGAAACTATAAAGTAGTTCAAGGCGTCTTGCCTTGGAATTTTTCCCAGTTTCGAAAGTGCAGATCAAGAACTCATTTTCTCTGCGTGTTTGTGTCCTTAGTTCTGTCACCACGCACGAGGAGCTACACCTTGGCGATCCGCATTGCGTAGCTGAAGGCCTTCGGCCGAATGTTCAGAGCTAGTACATTGGTTAGAGACTTGAGTAGTTCGGATCTACACCTGCGGGTGATTGCCGATGCTTAGAGCTAGTGACTAGTTAGATACTTGGATAGTTTCGCCCCTACACCTTCGAGTGTTTGTTCCTGATTGTACTCCTTCGGGATTTTTTCCCTTGAATGCCAAAGTGAAGTTTTGCTACTTCGTATAAGCCTTGGTTGTAAATTCAGGTTACGCTGCATCAGGGGCCTTCAGGGTAAACCCTGTAGTATTTCTGGGAATAACAAGTGCCTAAGAATTCAAACTCTTCAATAGACTGTTATGGTGTGTTACTAGAACGTTTCTCAGTGAGTCCCTCTGTGCGGACCTGTGTTCTCTGCGCGTTTTGTGAGTTGAGAGTGTTGTTCACCGCGTCAGAGTGACTTCGATTCGAAATAGGAAGTCCAATCCGGGTTCCCTACGCTAGCAGAAAGCTAGTGGAAGGTAAAAGCCGGAATTGGGAGTCACTACCCGCAGCTTCGCTGAGTGCTCGCGAGAGACTTTCCCCCTGAAATCTTAAGTAGAGGTCCTAACCGATCTCTGGGTTGTGTTTCTGTAGTTTAGGTGTGTGTGTGTGTGTGTTGAGTGAACTACGCTGCACTGTGCGACCTCCGAGTGAGCTCCGAGTGAACACTTGCAGTATTTCTGGGAGTGACAGTTGCCTGAGAATTCAAACTCCTCAATAGTCTGTTAAATGAGACACTTTGTACCCTGTGTGTTCCTCTGTCCCTGTGGGTTCGACCTTTCTACCACTATATTGCAGTTTTAGCCTTTAGTGGGTTATTACACTGCGCGAGTTAGAGCTTCGTGCAACCGGGTTGTTGACAGGTGATAGTCGGAGTCGGCGGCGAGTGGCGAAGAAGCTAGACTCTTTTCTGTCGAGATCACGGGACACCATGGCCACCCTTGAGACAGCGATTTCTGCGGTGTTGCGGCGTTTGGGACTGCGCAGTCAAGCTGAGGACTGGCAGCGTAGGGAGTTAGTGCGCGGCAGTCCGTCGCGCAGGACGCGAAGCACAAGTTCTGCGGAGTGTAGTGTAGCGTGGTTCCGTGCAGGCGTGTAGCATAGTGCAGCGTAGTGCTAGTTAGGACTTAGAAGGTATAAAGTAGTTCAAGGCGTCTTGCCTTGGGATTTTTCCCAGTTTCGGAAGTGTAGATCAAGAACTCATTTTCTCTGCGTGTTTGTGTCCTTAGTTGTGTCACCACGCAAGAGGAGCTACACCTTGGCGATCCGCATTGTGTAGCTGAAGGTCTTCGGCTGAATGTTCAGAGCTAGTACATTGGTTAGAGACTTGAGTAGTTCGGATCTACACCTGCGGGTGATTGCCGATGCTTAGAGCCAGTGACTAGTTAGATACTTGGATAGTTTCGCCCCTACACCTTCGAGTGTTTGTTCCTGATTGTACTCCTTCGGGATTTTTCCCTTGAATGCCAAAGTGAAGTTTTGCTACTTCGTATAAGCCTTGGTTGTAAATTCAGGTTACGCTGCAACATGTGCCTTCAGGGTAAACCCTGTAGTATTTCTGGGAATGACAAGTGCCTAAGAATTCAAATTCTTCAATAGACTGTTATGGTGTGTTACTAGAACGTTTCTTAGTGAGTCCCTCCGTGCGGACCTGTAATAACCCACTAAAGGCTAAAACTGCAATATAGTGGTAGAAAGGTCGAACCCACAGGGACAGAGGAACACACAGGGTACAAAGTGTCACGTTTAACAGACTATTGAGGAGTTTGAATTCTCAGGCAACTGTCACTCCCAGAAATACTGCAAGTGTCCACTCGGAGCGCACTCGGAGGTCGCAAAGTGCAGCGTAACACACACACACACACACACACCTGAAACTACAGAAACACAACCCAGAGATCCGTTAGGACCTCTACTCAAGATTTCAGGGGGAAAGTCTCTCGCGAGCACACTTAGCGAAGCTGCGGGTAGTGACTTCCAACTCTGGCTTTTACAACACTTCCACTAGCTTGCTGCTAGTGTAGGAAACCCGGTTTGGACTACCTACTTCGGATCGAAGTCACTCATACGCGGTGAACAACACTCTCAACTCACAAAACGCGCAGAGAACACAGGTCCGCACTGAAAGACTCACGGAGAAACATTCCAGTAACACAACAACAGTCTATTGAAGAGTTTGAATTCTCAGGCACTTGTCATTCCTAGAAATACTACAGGGGTTACCCTGAAGGCACCTGCTGCAGCGTAACCTGAATTTACGACCAAGGCTTACACGAAGTAACAAAACTTCACTTTGGCATTCAGGGGAAAAATCCCAAAGGAGTACAATCAGAAGCAAACACTCGAAGGTGTAGGGGCGAAACTGTTCAAGTATCTAACTAGTCACTGGCTCTAAGCATCGGCAATCACCCGCAGGTGTAGATCCGAACTACTCAAGTCTCTAACCAATGTACTAGCTCTGAACATTCGGCCGAAGGCCTTCAGCTACAAAATGCGGAACGCCAAGTGGGAGCTCCTCTTGCGTGGTGACAGAACTAAGGACACAAACACGCAGAGAAAATGAGTTCCTGATCTGCACTTCCGAAATTGGGAAAGAACCCCAGGCAAAACGCCTGGAACTATTTTATACCTTCTAAGTCCTAACTAGCACTACACTGTACTACGCTACACGCCTGCACGGAACCACGCTACACTACACTCCGCGGAACCTGTGCTACGTCTCCTGCGCGACGGACTGCCACGCACTAACTCCCTACCCTGCCAGTCTTCCGCTCGACTGCGCAGTCCCAACCGCTGCAACGCCGCGGACACCTCCACTTCGAGGGTGGACATGGTATCCCGCGCTTTCGATAGAAAAGCGTCGAGCTTCTTTGCTACCTTCCGCCGACTCCTGCTGTCGCCTGTCAACAACCCGGCTGCGCGAAGTTCAAACTCACGTAGTGTGAGTTTCTCCTGCGCTGCCACTTCCCAGTGGGCGTAGCCCTTGAGACAGTGGGCGACACGCCTCGCCGTCTCCTCTTTCGTGCGATCTGCCTCTCGCCTGCGATCCTCTTCAATTACCACTAATTGCGATTCGGCCTCAGCACGCTGCGCTCTCAATTCGCCACACTCTGACTGTAGCCTGCGGATTAAATCCTCATCCGCCTGCCGTGCGAGCTGACACTCCGCCAACAACCGCGTCTGTCGCACGAGCTCCTCTGACAAAATCTGATTCTGAGTTTTCTCAGACATCAAATCCTGCGTGGTCTGCAGCACATCCCTGCTGAGCTCTTCCACTCTATCCTTCCGCATCCTGTCGAGGGCGTGCGCTTTCCTCTCAAGGTTGTACTGCCCCCATAAACAGGCATGCCTCTCCTT